AGGTTAAAATAATTTAATTTAAATACCCTAAGGGTTACATACAATATATGAAAACATCCTAAAATCCCTAAAGATCAAGATTATATTTAACAAATTTAATATAAAATTATCCTACGATCACCTAGAGGATTACATATACCAAATTTCATCTAAAAATAATTTAAGATGCCCTAGGGATCAGGATTACATTAGACAAAATTTCTTATAAAAGTTAATCTATTATTTCTAAAGCATTAGGATTACACCCAACAAATTTCATATAAAACTAACCTGAGAGCACATAGGGATCAGGATACCTAGGGATTAGTATTACATAAATTTCAAATAAATTAATTGATTATTCCATGAAGATTAGAATCACATCGAATAAATTTAATAGAAAACATAACTATAGTGCCCTAAGTATCGAGATTACATAAAAAATTCATATAAAGCTAACCCTTGACTCTCTAGGGATTAGGATTACATATAAGGATTATGCCCAAATTTCATATAAAAGAGATAACCTACAAATACCTAGGGATTAGGATTACATATAACAAATTGGGATTATATCAAATAAGAATCACATAAAATTAATATATTACTCTGTAAAGGTCAATATTATATCAAACAAAATTCGTATATAAATAATCTATTACTTCTAAAGGTTTAGGATATACCCAACAAATTTCTACACAACAAATCTATAACCACCTAGGGATTAGTATTACCTGGTCTCCGTGTTGGCTACCTTTTAGAAGAAAAGTGATTGGGGGAAGAAAAGCGGTTGGTGTCCAAAGGAAAATAATAGTAAAATAAAATAAATAAAAATTTGAAGTAAGAAGAGAGAAAGTAGAGGAGAAGAGAAATGTAGAAATGTTGAGAATTGGGAAGTGGTTTGGTTTGATTAGGTTAAACTCCTATTTATAGTTGTAGTTTTGAAACCGAGACATTAACTACAGATAATATCAAAAGTCATATACTTATTTCAATTATTGAAACTGCAAGTAATATCAAAAGTCATATACTTATTTCAATTATTGAAACTGCAAGTAATATCAAAGGTCATCATAATTATTTTAATTATAATATCTCAATGGTTACAAAATTAAATAAATATAATTGTTGGCATTTACTAACTAAATGATAACCAACCATAACTGCTAAACGTTACAACTAAAATCACCACTAGTTAAGGTTACAATTTTATAGTCATATTATGACACACTATTAGCAATCAATGCCTATAACACATACATAAGGGTACACACTATTATTATTATTATTACTATTTTCTGGCATATTACATACAGTATACCACATACTTTCATACAATATAACCATAATGCCCACTATCATGGTGGGGCCACAAGAGAGAGGAGCAACCAGAATCAGGAACTTATCTCACTGAGCTTATCACAAGCCCAACTCCGACAGTAAAATACATATGCTCCAATAAATTCTCAAGTGCAAGGTTCTCTAGGCACACCTAGAGTAGGAACCATTCACATTATTAATTACATAGTAATTAATCAAGTCATATACAAGACTTAACCATTTAATGATTTCACTTTCCATAATTATATGCCAATAATATGCTCATTACAAGTCTAGACCATTTATTACTTAATTACATATTTTTAGTTCATAAGGAATTGTTCACTAAGTCCACAATAACTCATTAGACACTTAGTCCGTTAATAAACTCTCTTAACTTAAAGCATTTTTCACTTAACTTACCACTAATCAAGATATTTACCACCAATATATGTTATTCATAACCTTGAACATTAATTATTATAAGTTCAAAGGGTTCCTATAAATTCCTTTTCACCTAAATCTCAATTTTACGGTTTTCTTTTACTGTACATGCTTCTGTTTTCTACTCCCAGTGTCCAACGTACTTGTTATAAAATTCTCATTTTTTAGTATGTTAATCTAGACTCAATTAAATTTCCAACAAGGTATCACACACCTTAATCAGAGCTATATAGCGCAAGTTATGATTTTTGGAAGTTCAACTTACAAATCTGTTTTTAGGCAGTGCAGGGAATCCTAACATCCCTCATGGTTTTCGTCTCTGTGAGAGTTCCAGAAGTTGGATTTCTCTCAAATTTTAATATGTTGTAGTAGACACCTATATCTTTAATTCTAGGTATCATAAGCTTAATTTGAGTATGTAATGAGAGAGATATGAATTTTAGAAGTTGGACCTTTGGAATTGTCCCTGCACTACGTGAGTTTGGGCAGTCTGGACTCAAATTCACTTTGTGGATAAACCACAACATATATCACTCTCAAAATTTAGGACAATATAAATGACATCTCCAGATTTAAAATGAGGTACCATGAGCCTCATTTGACCAAGGGATGAGGGAGATATCACCTTCCAAAGTTAGGGTGTAAATTAAGAATTTTTAAGCTTATTTCATTGTCCTTTCTTTAACTAATTAGTCCCAACATTTAATTAATCTACTAATCCATGATTACCTTATTTTTAACACAACTAATCCACCTTATACTCAAGAGTTCAGAATCATCATGTGTCTTTTTTAGGGTTCAAGTTCATCCTTTTTCATGAAATCCATACAAGGATTCAAAGATTATACCTTTACACATCAATCAACTATTTCTTGGTTCAAAATTCACATCTTTAGCTCCAAGCTTCACTTTTTACAAACAAGGATGATCCTTTAAACAAGAACACACCTTCAAAAATATGTTCAAGAGTTAGAGCTCAAGCACACAAGAGAGAAAGATGATATTTTCAAGAAAAGTTTAGGAAACTTACACAAAAACTCAAGAGAATCACGCACACAAGTGATGCTCTTCAAGAGAACTCAAGAACACAACTACATAACTCCTTGAACCTTCTTTTTTTTTTGGAAATACTCCTTGAACCTTCTAAGGTTCAATTTGGTACCTCACACACTCAATTTGATTAATAAATGAGTGAGATATGATTTATTTAAAACTGAACTCACTACTTCCATACGTTTTTACACTAAATTGTCCAAGTAATTTGAACTTTGTTCTCTTATCTACATGTAACTTCCCTTTAATATTTTTGGTCTAATTATGACTTGTTAGGCATATATTGGACTTTCATTCCATTTTCTCATCTTTTTCCCGTTTCAGAATTTTACCGGCAGTTTCTATCGCCCGGTAAAAGTGACTTTTCAGAAATACCCCAATATGGGTATCAATCTTCACCATTTCATATTCTAACCTCTTTCATGATATTTATACCATTAGATTAGCTCTCTATTTCAGATTTGCTAGATTGGAACTATTTCACAGACTCTTACTATGTCAACCAGTTAAAAATAACAGTTGAAAACTCACTGGTTATAAAATTCTTAGAATTTCATTCTCATTCTGTTCATGTTTCTTTTTAATTGTGAAGATTTTAGTCCCTCTACGTTGATGTTCTTCACAGGTCACGGCTAAGGTATAAATGGGCCAAGTTAGGCCAGGTTTTGGCTTTGATAGCCTAAGCCTATGTAAAATATTTAGAGCATATATTGGCCTATAAAGCACCGACACTTCAAAAATCCTGACGTGTCGTGTCCGATACTTCCCGACACTCACCGATACTCTGACATTTTTCGACACTCTAGTATTCGTTGCAAAGACTCAAAAAAGATTCAATGATTACGTTGCGTTGCATTTTGAGTTCCAACTATTAGATTCGTTAGATTACGATTACGATTTTATTGAGTTTCATATAAACATTTGGGATATCTTATGTTTCTTTGCAAAATTGATGAGTATTATAAGTTTAGTTTTATTTTTTTGTTAAATTATTGAATACTAAATATAATATACACTACATAAATTAAAAATATTATATAATATCAAAACGTGTCAAAATTTATCATTTTTTAGAATTAATGTATCGGAGTGTCGTGTCGTGTCGTATTCCGTGTCTCGTGTCGGTGCAACATAGATACTGGCTTAAATGCTTGATTTATATATCTGACCAGATCTATTATAAAAAACTAAAAAACCTAATACGACCTGTAAGGCTACCAAGTTGCAAACTAAAGTATATAGGCCCAAACCAAATTAAAATATAAAAGATAAAAAAAATTATTCACAAAGATTACATGAAATAAATTTTCATTAACATCACATGAAATAATATTCATAAAAATCACATGAAAATATTCATAAAAATCACATGAAAATTTTATATATGTATATATACATATAATTTGCACTTTCTTTACTAATTTAATTTTATATTATATTTTAAATTTTAAATAAATATTTATTATTTGTTAAAATAACATCAATCCTATTATTTTGAAAATTTTAAGTAAATTTTTTTCCTGATAGATATGTGTAAGTACGAAAATATTTTGATAATTTAATATGTTAAATTTTTTGGCCCTAACTAAAATTAAACCCTCCATCCGCCACTGTAAATAAACATATCAATTAAGCAGCACTTAAGCTATTAAGTGAAGATACATGATTTTTATATTATATCACTTTGACACATGCCAATCATTCTTTCTCTTTTTATATTATAGAGGCTATATACTTTGGATGTCCAGGTTATTGTAAGTTATTGATATTTATTGGGGCTTTTAGGGTGGTCCAATTTTTGAGTGGTTTAAAAGGGAGAAATTATTTTTGAGATGCTTCCATCCTATAACTTCAATTGCTTTTTATTATTTTTTTCATTTTCTCATTATCAACCAAACTTTCCAATGAGTTCGTCAATTTTATAATTCTTTATTAAACATGCAATCCGTAGCTCAGTTTGGTTGACATATGAACTCATTAGTAACCTTGATTTTAAGGTATTCTTGTGACTGTCAACATAATGCATGACCAGTAACGAACTTTAACTAAATATTTTTTTATGCAAGACATGTATGACCAAATAATATAACTCTCTCCAACCAATCACCAGCGCGTGGACACGGAACAACCTCATTTCATGACCAAAACTTTACACAAGAAAATAGAACAAGCATTACGCTACCAGCAGAAAGTTTTATGGCTATGATTAGATTGTTTGCCTTCGGCATAAGAAAACAAACATGATACCAAAGCAGCAGGATTTCCTTTCTCCCCCCTGCATAATGTTCATTGCCTAATTATCCTAACTAAAATGCTAAAAGGTCAGGAACTTCACCATTCTTGCTGGCTAGTTCCCATCGTCAGCAGATTTCAGACCGGAGTGGCCACCACTTCCTCGAGCGCTTCCTCGTCGGTCTTCAGCTGAACTTCCAATTTCTTGCTTGCCACTACCAATAAGTCCCCTACCAGCACCCTGCAAACCATGCCCATTCCCTGTGGAGCTGCGTACAAAATCAGGAAACCCTCCATTGCCTCCCACATTGATCGCTTCACTTTGCAACATGTGAAGCCCTTGACTTCCACTAGAACTCATGCCAAGTTGGCTGTGTAAGGCTTGCTGCTGTTGAAGTACTGAGAAAGGCTGTTGTGCATACAAAAGGGAGGAGCGTGCAGCCATTAGTTGTTGTTGTTGTGTCATCTGCTGAGCCTGCATGTAGTGTGCTGCTCCCTGCTGCATAATCCCACCAGGAGTGTACTGCTGTGTTATCCAAAAGAATTTTGAGACCAAAAAACGGGGCAATAGTGATGAAACTTACAAATATAATAGGAAGAACTGGATATTGATATGGATCATTGCAGGATTAAAGAGATCAAAATGTAACCAACATGATCTTAAGTTAACTGCACTCTCTAAGTGATCGAATTCTGAAAATAGACATGTACCTGACCAGGCATTTCAGGCTGTTGGGATTGAGAATCAGCTATTGCAGCAAGGTACATGAGATTTCTCTGCAGCCTTGATTGGTTCCTAAAATAATGGCAAGATGATTATGATCATTTAGCACCACAATAATAGAACAAACAAGGAACGGGAATATGACGTCAAGATACTTTAAGAAAAAATCCAACAATAGTTTCGGTTTTCAATCTCAAGGCAAGCCAGTAAGGTTTGATTTGTAGAAGAAAAACCTTTACAAGAAAAAATAAAAATACTCCTCTATTAAGATTATCCTGTGTCGCAACTGCATAGATAAACTTGAATAATGCAGTTGTCAAAAAGGGTTGTCCTAAATTTCGAGATAGACATTCCACTCAAACGGGATGTAAAATAATTTTAGAAAAAAGTTCTTTTATTACTGTCAAGTCATCATGTTTTGGAACTTTTATTCATAATTGTATACAACTGTCAGCATAATTTTTTTTAAGTATTGTGGGGTATCCCACATCTTAGAAAAAGCCTGCAAAAAAGAGGAAGTCAATGCAAACTCCATTTAAACTCAGATAATTTCAAGATGTCAAACACCTTTGATTTAGCATTAGATTAAGTAGTTTTTAACAATGAATACTCTTAATTGTATGTAAACTTTGATATACCAAAGGAACTAGAAAGTTAAAAAAACTTCAAAAATTAGTGTTACGATAAATCATTATTTAATGTCATAACCTACTTAATCTTGCAGCCATGTTAATATTTAAAAGCTTACCATAGAGGAGCTACTTTATTGGCATGCAAATGAAGCAGAGGAACAGATACTAAAATACAAATTCACTGCAGAGATTTATGTAAATAACTTTGCAAGTGTCTATACCTTGCAGATATTATATATGACACTATATTATTCGTCTCACACATTATAGCATACAATAAAGTTGAAATCCTGACATAATGGATAGTACAACTTCAAATTGTACTCCGCCTGAGGAAATGCTTGAATTTTACCAAAACAAATGATGATGGGGTTGGGGAAATTCTATGGTGTGACACCATGTCAAGTTGGCAAGGGCATTTCTCCGTTAGATAGAATCTAGATACGATGTGGGAGTAGCATCTAACCAATAAACAACCCTACCTAATAGGAACCGGGATGGGGACATACTTGTTAGCAAATTAAGTAATGAGAAACACAATTTTCAATTGGTGTTGCAGTTTAGACTAGTTCTTACTCGGCACACTCGCTCAGCTTGCCAGAATTCTGGCTTTCAACAATCTTCAGAATTAGGGTCTTGTTCTCATCCAGGTACTGCTTGAAGAGAGGAGAAAAGTAGTTAAACGCAGTCAATGATAATATCAACATGGAAAATTGCCTAGTGTGTGTGTTGGGGGGGGGGGGGGGGGGGGGGGGGGGGTGCAACAAAGAGTTCTTGCTGAACTGTCTTCCCTTATAAAGCACTATGATGCATGGCGGTCTTAAAAGATTTTAAAAATATGTAGAGTGTTTATCTGTGTTGGCTGAAAAATGGTAAATAATATAATTAGCCTTTTCTGGCATGCAACTTCCTCTCTTCTTAAACTAATTGTCAATTCGTGCAAGGAATCAGAACAACAGCTAAGTCATCAAACCATAACAGCCGGGTCAACCATTTAATTAATTTAAAATTCTTCAAAAAATGTCACATAATGCAGCACAGACAAGTTAACTAAAATTCCAAAACTAAAGCACATAGATATCAAGCATATGCCTATACGGCTATACCAAACTGTGAGACGATGGGGTGGGACTAGAACAGAGAGTTATGTCAAACAATATAGTTTGTTTGAAAAAAGTGACTTTTCTCTAAAATCTAATTAAAACCAAACATGATACTGAACCGGTCCAAGAATGAGTCTAGTTTTATACTTAATAAATGATCAAAAGATGCCGAAGCAAGTGTTGTTTTGAATTTGAGAAAGATAGGGATAATGATATCTGAGAAGTGTAGCATATTCAGATAATCTAATCTAAACACTGAGAAAAGCACATGTCAAGAGCACCAAGCAGCATATTTCCAAAAAGCAAAGAACCCAAAATTTTGCAAACACCAAACCCACCCACTTAAACTCATATAGCAGAAACCGACAAAAGAATAAGCATAATAAAGAGAACAAGGAATGATAAGAAACAGAAACACAGAAGCAGCACAAGCGGTACTAAAAGTGGCACAGCAAGACCCACAGGAAACAGAAAGGTCCCCGCAGCAGAGAGAGATTATCCAAACCAAGCAAGAAAGGGATTAACATGAAGGAATAATACATATTAAGAAAAATACATAAAAAGATTGAGTGAAGATGAAAACTGAAGAATCTTAGCATCGAGTTGAAGAGAAAACCTGTTGAATGTGATCAGTGGTGACGTTGTTAGGGTAGTAAGATGCCATGATAGGCTGCATATGCACCAGTTGCTGCTGCATTTTTCTCACTATATATCCCACTCACTTAGTCACTTCGAAACACCCTCTGCAACTCTGCAAAGAGAAAACAAAAACCCTGTGCTTTTCTCTGTTACCCACTTTTCCTTTCTCTAATGTCTACCACATCGAAAAGATACTACTTTTATTGGTCAAAGAGAGAGAAAAAAAAGAAGACAACTCGGTGATTTGAACTAGATTTTTTTATAATTTATTTTATAGTTTAGGATTTTTTTAATAATTGTTAATTATTATTATTTTTGTTATTTTTAGATTACGTTTTGATTGTGTATTATTTTTTTTTATTGCGCATGATTTTTTTTTGTTATTTTTAAATTATATTTTGATTTTGTATTATTTTTTTTGATTGTGCATAATTATAATTCTTTATTTTTTTGTGATTTTTATTTTTTGTCTATTTAAAGCTTGAAGAATCTTATTATTATTAAGTTATTTTTGGTTAAATAAATTAAAAAATAATAATAATATTTTCTCACGATCCTTATATCCATTCTTATTTCTATTTAACGAATTGATTATTGATTATTTGAGTTCGAAAAATCTTGGTTCAGTATGGCTCTTTCTTCTCTACCCTCTAGAACTCCGTGTCCTTTTTTTCCCTACTCCAAAAGGTGGCTCACGTGATACATCAGTTAGAGAATCAACTTAATATATTTATTTCTTTTTATTAAATTATTTTATTTAAATAAAAATAATTATTCTATAAAATTTTGAAATAACGTAAGCTAGTATATTTTTTTGTTTAACAATTTTTATTATTAATACGTTAGCATATAAGAATAAGGAAAGGACGTCTACCATAAAAATATTTGGAAAAAAAAGCGTTACTCCTCTTATTTATAACCATTTAATAAAAAAAATTATTTAGTTTCAAAACAAAATTAATAAATATATGATGAGTTCATATAATTATTATTTTTTCGTTTCATTATTAAAATACTACTCTCTATTTTAAGTATCAATTATTTAAAATAAAACAAATTGTTTTATAAAAAATGAAAAATAATAAAAATTCCCCCGACCTTATTTTTTTTCCTTCACTTTTTCATCCTTAAAAAAGCATAACAAATAAAGTCACGTTAACATGACATCTACACTTATTAATGTTTATTGTTTGATGATGACGTTGGTCTTGTGTAAGAGATTCCCAGTCTTGTACTACCCATCACCCATCCAGTTCATCACGCGCTCGCCGCTCACTCTAGTAATTCGCGCTATTTACCTTGACCTTCGTGCAAATCATTGTTTTTTCATATATTTTTCTTCCTAATTTTATTTTTCTTCCTTTGATCCATGCACATGTTTTTCCGTTTCATTCATAATGATGCTCCTTTTAATCTAGATTAATTTTAATCAATTTGCTTTAGGCTGTTTGTCACCGAATAAAAGATTTGAGCGGTGATTAAAAAAGGTTTGAATTGCGTGTATGCTTACTCAGATTTTCTTGGGAAAATTACTCTAATAAACCTATCACAGGCAGAAGCAGAGGGTTCTTCATTATATTTTTCTACAATACACAATCTTGGTTATTTTAATTGGTTCATCACGTAATGCTTTTCTTGAAATATTACATTTTATCGCACTGATGATTCACCTGACAGGCTGACGCAATTCTCTCGTGCTTGTCAATTTATGTAACGTGCATGAACTAGTGTATATATGTATTATGTATATGCTCATTGATAAAAGACACACAACATTAGCTACTTGGTGATACATGACAAAGAAATAAATTTAATACCTCGTATGCATGTGTAAACATGTTCCCCTCAATTTGTTTCCTTTTTTGGTTGAACGAAAAATACCACTAAACATACAAAATAATAGCTGAGGAGAATATACTATCTCTGTTCTAGATATATATTTTAAAGTATTTGAAACGATTCTATATAGAAAGGGTTTCACTTTCATCGTTTTCATGGCTGGCGCAGAAAAATATCTATTTGATCAGATATTTCAATACAAATGTAAACGAATACTTATTTTTAAATTCGTAAATTACTTTCTATATGCATGCTAAAGCTTTAAGGGATATATTGTTTAAGTTTAAGGGTGCCCTAAACCTAAAGTTAGTTTCTTTTTAGATTAATTATTTGCGGTTATATATACTTACGTCTATGAACATATTATTTAAGGGATAAATATGAATCATGTTGTAGGTATAAAATTAGTGTCATGCAACTACATAAGACAAAGTAAAGTCATTTTTTTTTTTGGAAATATTCTAATCTGTTCATTACTTCGCAATTAATCCGATTCGGGACGGGTCCAGGATTAAGGTTTTAAATTCCTCCCAAAGATATATAGTACTGGGGAGATTCGAACACAACCCCCACCTGCTTAGCTCTCATGCGCCAACTGAGCTACCACCGTTGGTACAAAGTAAAGTCATTGAATAGTGTGTCTTTTTAACTTTTTTTATTATTAATTAATTTGTCTTTTCTTTGTAGGAAAAAAAATCAATTATGTTGCATGATGAATCTAAAGCCCATTATTTAAAGGCTCAATCAATCTGTCTCTTAAAAAACAAAATAATGGGATTTTATCAATAAACAAGTTTTGAATTGAAAAATATATTTGTTAATCTTTATCTTAATTTGTTCATTTGTTGGTAGCAACAGCAATTCAGGAGATCCAAATCTCATTTGTTGACGGAGGCTTTACCATATGAGAGAAAGGAAGAGAAAATTATAAAGAATAACACTTCTTCTCCCCATAACCGAATATGTTGTTATGAATTTTATTTTTTATTTTTTGGTGCGGGATGTTGTTATGAATTTTATTACTTGCCACATGTAAATTTTTCAAATTATATTCATGATCATAATATGTATGAAAAATTAACTTTCTTGAGGAAAGTATCTTCACCTAACTGCTTAATTTTTTTTATTGAATTAAATTTCTTGCATAATATTCAGACTAAGAAGGTTATCAGCTAGTACGGTGGATCAATTATAAATTAGGGAAAAATGTTTCTGCAGTTAATGCAGATAAATTATCTGCATTTATTCTCAAAACAACGTTGTTTTGGTATTGAAATCTTAAAAAATTATAAATATAAAGACTATTATAACACTACTAGAAAAAGCTCTATTATCGACAGAATTTATTAACGGAAAATATTCCGTCAAAAATAGTAACGGAATTTTTGACGAAAATTCAATTCCGTTGGAAGTAGAGACGGAAAAAATTTCCGTTGAATTTTGAGACGGAAATTTTCAACGGAAAATAAATTCCGTCAAAATTTTTAACGGAAATTAAATTCCGTTGAAATTTTCTGTCAAAAATTTATCAAATAATTATTTTTAATCGAAAAATATTGACGGACAACAAATTCTGTTGATAATTACAACGGAAATTTTTTGTTGAAAATTGCAACGGTATAGTTTTTCGTCGAAAAATGCAACGGAATTTCGGTCCGTTGAAACTTTCAACGGAATTTTGGTCTTTTTCCATCAAAAATATCAACGGAGTTTTTTTCCGTTGATAATTTTCAAGTCATCACATCCATTATCAAAAACCCTAAATTTCTTTTATGCAAGTATACTGTCATTTATAATTGTTTATGGTGTTGTGCATATATATTGAAACATTTACATGAGAATGCAAGTAGTGACTATCCACATATGGAAGTGTTGAAGAAGTGGATGAAGTTATAAGTATACTAAAATGATGCTCAGATGTACTCACATGATAATGGATGTGAAAATACGTAAACATGTTGCTAACAAATCTCTGTAATATTTATTATACTCAGATCAATATCATATATGTTGATAATTGCATATCACTCATGTTGTGTTTGTTTTCGTTGATTGCATTTTTTTTATATTGTTTAAGTTTATTATTGATGGCTTCCAGCAGGTATGCGCTTCGGAGGTTTTGTCCCTCATCGAGCTTTGGCGTGTGTGCCATTTATACGATTAATTTGTCAAGGCTTAAGACCTTATCTTTTGTTTGAAGCTTATTTCAATAAAGATTAAAGAGATTTGTTAACAACATATTTACTTATTTTCATATCCATTATCATATGAGTACATCTTAGCATCATTTTTGTATACTCATAACTTCACCCACTACTTCAACACTTGTAGTTGTGGATAGTCATGACTACTTGAATTCTCATGTGAATGTTTCAATATGTATGCACAATACCATAAACAATTATAAATGATAGCATTATTGCATAAAAGAAATTTATGGTTTTTCATAATGCTTGTGATTACTTGAAGAGCAAAATGAAGGAGTAAAATTCAGTCAAAATTATAAACGAAAAAAAAGTCCGTAGAAATTTTCAACGGAAAATAATTCTGTTGAAATTTTCGACGGAAAAAGTCCAAAATTCCGTTGGAATTTTCAACGGAAGATTATTCCGTTTCAATTTTCGACGGAAAAAGTCCAAAATTCTGTTGGAATTTTCAACGGAAAATTATTCCGTTGCAATTTTCAACGGAAATAATTCTGTTGCAATTTTTGACACTAATAAGTCATTGTCTCTCACGAGTTATTTAGGAATACACTTTGCATTCTTGCATAAAAGAAATTTATGGTTTTTCATAATGCTTGTGATTACTTGAAGAGCAAAATGAAGGAGCAAAATCCAATCAAAATTATAAATGGAAAAAAATTCCGTTGAAATTTTCAACGGAAAAAGTCCAAAAATCTGTCGGAATTTTCAACGGAAAATTATTCCGTTTCAATTTTCGACGGAAAAAGTCCAAAATTCCGTTGGAATTTTCAACGGAAAGTTATTCCGTTGCAAATTTCAACGGAAATAATTCTGTTGCAATTTTTGACACTAATACTGGCATTGGATTAGCCTTCATGGCAGCAACCAAGGGTTACAAGCAAATAATTACAATGCCTGCTTCAATGAGTCTCGAAAGAAGAATTATTCTATTAGCTTTTGGAGCTGAGTTGGTTTTGACAGACCCTGCAAAGGGAATTTTTCTCTCTCGTGCTGTTTGGTTCCCAAGAAAATTTATAGAATTTAGTAAGTAGTTTTTTTTCCTCTCTCTTTAAAGTTTTGAACGAAAT